GCTGGTTAGAAGCTGTCACCAGTGCCAGCAACAGAAAAAAAAGAGAACCCTAAATACAGAAAAAAATACCTTTGAAAGAAACAATACTTTTCAATAAGCTGAATCTGACATGTGCTTAGTTCTCACAGCATACTTGGTTGGAGGCAAATCCATAAATCCAAGACAAGTCCTGCTTGCAGGATACAAACTGCAGCTTGCACAATCATAAATGTTAATAGCAATCACAGAATTACGGTGTCTGATGTGCTTGGTTATGCTGTAGTTAGTATAATTGAATTCATTATTTAATCATGCAATATTTTTTTGCTTTATGCTACAGTAATTCCTCTAATTACTATTAGTAATTTAATATTATAATGCATCTAAATGACTCATTTACCTATATCACATTCTTTATTGAGTAATACAAAAATATTTCAGTACCTACCTGGATTGTTCTTGCTATCAACACAGAAACATTAAAACTTATAAGTAATGATCCAAGAATCATGGAATTAAAGAACTGTAGGACACAGACTAGCAGTAATCCAGAAATCTGAATGACATAGAGCCATGTAACCTGGAACAATAATGAGATTTTTATGTCTACAAGACTTTACAGTCGTAGCTTCTTTTCTTGGAATATGTTTTAGAATTTATTTCAACAGCAAATATATCATCTTGCACTGCATCATTACACTTAAAGCCATTACTATGTCCTTTCTATATTTATGTCCTGAGCTAGTTAGGTTAATATTTTATACCTATTTTATGCCTATGGAAGCCTGATGTTATAATAAAGCAGATAAACAACTGCAGAGTGAGGAAAATATTCGTTACTTAGTATTTGGAAGATGTTTTGTATTTTTTTTAGTCAAAGAAGTGTTTCTGTTTTCATCTTCTACAGCACATTCCTAATTCCTACAAGGGACTGTAAATGCTCCCTTGTCTTTTTGGTAACATCGTTTTACTTTTTGCCTCATTCCCTTCAGCAACATAGCAGCGACAGTGGTTTTCCTGGCGAATTTCAGTGCTGCAAAAGAAAACTGCTGCTCTTGAGCAATCTCCTTCCTCCTCTCTGTGCTATACAGTGCCTGCACCTAACTTCAGCTTAGGCAAAGGTTTCTTGTGCTACCTTTTTTTTCCTGGCCACTTCCAGAGGACAAGCTTAAGCTGTGGCAATAGATAACTGTTCTGATGGCCTTCAAAATAATCCCTTAATAGTGCGAAAACATGGCTGTGTCTAAACAGAACTAGACAAAAATTAAACAACAGACATGAAATAAAACCAGATGAAAAAAATCAGACTGATTATTCGTATTTACACTTGCAGTACATACACTGTGATTACTTAAAAGCACAAAGCAGCACAGTGTATAATCGGTATTTCTTCGGGCATCCAGGTCAGTAAAATACCTCCAAAACAGTTAGCTTTAGGATAGAAAAGAACATAAATTTAGTTATTTCCAAACATAACCTTACCTTTGCTGTGGGAAGAATGTCAAAGCAGTCCAGTATGAATAATGCCAATGCTTGTATCAGCATCATAAACTGATTGAATTGCCACGTCAGGCTAAAGAGAAATGTTGCTATGAATACAGCCATAAGTGTCAATCTCTGGAAGGAGGGAAGAAAATTTTCTTTAACTGCATAGTTTCCTTCATTAAACAAACAGACAAAACACCCAACAAAACCAAACAAAAATCCACCTTAATTTGGTTTTATTTTAAATCCATTTTAAAAACACTGAGTTTCCTAACTGCAGTAACTGCTTGGAGGATAATGAACATTTTTTAGAGTTACAGGTTCTTGTATTTATGCCTGTATTTTACCCCTGTAATACCATTTGCAAGAAAATGCTGAGATCTCAGGTAGTTTCAGCCCACAGATAAGCATGCCGTATGTGTTTTACTATGCTATAAATAGCAGTTATTTTATCAAATTGAGAGGTAATAATTTAAGAACTGTTTGTCAAAGAAACTGTATCACTAATCTGCTTTTATTCCTGCAGATCAGGAAAAACTTAAATTTGTAAAACAAATAAAATCAAAATCTTTAATCCTGGTGCTCTACAAGCTTTTCTCCCACCCACTTTGCTTTACTCTCATGTTTTCTGAAACACACAGTACTGTTGTCTTGTACTCTTTAGATCTTTCCTTTATTTCTTCTCAGTGCTGAGCATATGTATTCCTCCGCATGTCAACTACATCTACCTTAACAGAAGGCTCATGATTGTTTTCAATGTTTTAAGTGATGTGTATGTGTATATATCCACTGCTATCAACACTTATTAAGTATTTTGTCCTAAGTTTTATAGACAGTTTTCTGATACTAATTTTACTGTGTTATACTTGTTAAAAATACTCACTTCTTGAACAGGCTGTAAATGAGTTCTGAGTAGGTATGTGATGGCTGCTATTTGAACAGCAAAGAATGGGAGTGCCCAGTTCTCTCTTAAAGGAATGGTGAATTCTACTCTTGTAGTATCTATTCTGTACAAACCAAACAGAGTTTCATAATGTTAAAGCAAACAAAACATCAACTTGGTAACAGAGAGGTTGCAATGACAGGCATCTTCGTGGTACTTGAACTACTAATGGATAAAAATGGAGGCTCTACTCTCTAGCTCTTTTAACATGCCTGGCTCTGAAACAACTTTATTATGAGGGTTCTGCAAGTCATCCACTGTTTCTGTACTTCAAATGTTGTATTTTAGCTTCACTTACTGTTAAAAAACTTTTATTATGGATTAAATCCTACTTATGAAGCACAGCTTGGATAATTTAAATATGAACAAACAAACCCCCAAACAAAACCACTCCTCAAATCCAGCATGTAGAGTTTTCACATTACAGGTCATTTTACTTCATTTTTTGACTTGCAAAAAGCACATATATGAATAAACAGACATCGATTTCTTCACTGTCATCCCAGTGCATTGGATTTGAATACTGCTAAACTGGTTGGGAATCTCTGGTCAAGTTCTGAATATTCTAAGACAAAAAGTATGTGATGGAAGTTAGTAAAGTTCCCCAAAGGGCAGTCATTGACAAAACCTGAATTAAAAGTTAAAACCAAAAAATAACCCCCTTTTTCTTGTGTAGAGGAAATGTTTGCTAAAAAGGACAGTAAGCAACACATCTGAGACATGCTTAGGTGGATGAAAAGCATGTCTAAAATGAAGTTACTCGGTAGTCTCAGATGTACATAATCTGGGCAGAAAGTCTTTATCCAAATCAATCCCACGTACTGATGCTATTTGCATAACAGATAACAAGCTTCCACTGTTCACAAATTATCAGATAGATCAAACAAATCTGCTCCAAACATTGTGTAAATGGAAAATATGAGTTCATGAAATAAACACGTGAACATGTACATTGCATGTATTTTTTACTTACTTTCTCCATCTTTGGAGAAAGAAACGTTTTACCACTGTCTATCTATAATTACTCTGTAATGGACATGGTTGCAGATAAAACCTCTTCAGTTTTGGGCAGAAGTGACACTGCACTTTTATTTTCTTGATTCATTTACAGATAACAGCCTATGTCACTGCTCTCAGCTCCATAATATCTGTTCTTTAGATTCTCTCTCCAAACTTAGAATTCAAGTGACAAAGCACTAGAACAGCTCAATTACCATGTTTGCTCCCCCCACTTAGTGCAGGAGATGTCTACAGGAATAAGTGAACAGAGAAGCTGAACTTCTCATGATCTCGGGTTGCTGAAGGAACCCCTGCAGGTTGGGAGTTGGGTGGTGGAGAGACCTCAAGGACATATATGCAGGTATCTTTAACACCTAAGGGATTCTAGGCTGGAGAAGACAGGGTACATCATCTGGAGACCCAGGCATATCTAAAAGATGCAGTCCACCTTCAGAGACTAATTGAAGCCCAAATTTTCTACTCACACTTACTGAAACTTTAACATCCTGTTCTGCAATGTCAGCTCATTTCTGATTATTTTCTAATTATTTTGTTTTATTTAAATATTTTTTCCCATTTTCTGGCTAATCTGGAGAGAAGCCTTACAGTTTGGGGTTTTTTTTTTGTCCAATTAATCATGCATGCAAAGGTTTAATGCCTTACCTTTGAAATGAGGTTAAATTTTAGAAAGAGCAAATGTTTAATCTCACTTACCTGTTTGTAATATACCAGCAAGCTGCCAACAACCCTGAAAGCCATGTTCCACTAAGAAGCCAGCTTGTTACATACAGAGCAATGACATATACTGCCTGAAGTCCAAACAAAGTGTAGATATAAAAATAAACGGGCTCTAGGTATTGCTGTAAAACACAAGAACACTGATGTTGACATAAAAACACTCATGGGGGGACACGACTGTACTTAACGTGAATTAGGTTTTGCTTTAAAAAGCTATCAGGAATGTTTCTAATTAGAAATAACTAAAAAAGGGAGCTACGGTTCACTGCGCAATCTTCATAATGCACTTACAATCTAAAGCCATAAATAAATGCCTACCTGAATTGGAAGAATCCTATACAGAATGCTGAGAAACACCTCCTGGTAAACATTCATTCTTTCAAGTATGTTAATTGTCCTCACAGATTCAGTTTTATTGTCATATACTAAATCATGTAAACCTTAACGATAAAGAGAAATTGAAATAGGAGATTGTCATTTCCCCCCTCCATGTTCATTTGAACAGTGAATAACTTTTTCAAAGGTACTTTAGGATCTTTCATCAAAACCTGCGAACTTTGAGTCAAGGATTCAGATCACATTACCTCTGAATGAACATGACCTTCTGAGGTCTTCAGCTTCCCTGCGTCGAATGTGACTCAGAGCGCTAATTCAAGCACTACATACTTAGTAATGTACAAAGCATTTATTTTTACACTGACATTCCTAGCATAGAATCTGTGGTACATACTGGATCTTGAGAACCATTCTTGTCACTACTTTGAACACAAGCTGATGTTACTATTGACAAATGTGTAGTGAAACAAAAATTGCTAGGGACCAACAGTTAACTATCTAGAAAACATGAGACGGTCACAGAAAACCCCATCATTGTACATGGTTGCCTTGGAAGCTCCTCACTGTGTCACTGTCCAGGCATACAGCGAAAAAATTGCCCCTTTCCAAAAATGGCTCATAATTCAGATTCAACATAAGAAGAATAAAAATGAAACTAATATAATGAATTAGCCAGCAAGGCTGAAACCTCAACAGGTATGAAAGCTGTCCCACAAAGTGATTGCCTTCAGAAACTGATGTATCACTGTGAAATTTATTATGTCCAGAACTTCGTGGCTCCCTGACGTATGAGCAGAATAAAGCTGTCTCCAGCACAGTTGTTACACTGTCTTTCACAGACATGGTATTGCTTGTTCTCAGCAACATTTGAAAAAATACTAAAAACGGTCAGCTGGCGACACGAAGTAAAACTTACTTTACAGTTTACAATACCTTGCTGGATGGAAGCAGCCTGAATCATCTGTTTGTAGTAGGAATAATAAAGTCCACATTCTGTTCTGAATGAGATTTCTCTTTCCACTTCCTGCAAGTGAAAGTTCAATAGTAAATCCACTTTCCATTTGCTTTTCACAACTATATGAAGCTGCCTTCAACTCAGATTCTTGCTGCACCAGGGAAACGGACTTACACAGCGGCTTGACTCTTTGGGTTTGCACATTCTGTGCAACTTCGTTCAAATAAAGGTAAAATACATGGGCAAATTAGGGTGGAAGGCAAACGGCAGAGGTGCCAGGTGAAGTCATTTGTCTCTGTTAACCGGGGAAACGTGTATGCCTTTTGTGATTCTGATAGGCTGTTTGGAAACATTTTGGATCTTTTACTGTTTTCACTGTAATACTCAATGTTTAACTAGGTGCAGTGGCCAACAGCTTGAATTTAAAACTGCATATGCTTGCTCCATGCATTTAACCTTTTCTTCCAGATGTAGATATCCCATAGTGTTCCCCGGCTTTGCCACCTTAAGGCTCAGTTAATTTAGTGTGCTATACTTGGGACTGCAACCATAATGGCACTCCAATTGTTCAGCTGGCAGAGAACGCTGCTGCCCACTTCTTATGTGGAAGCAGGAAGCCAGCTGTTCATCACTCATACTGACATGACAGGTTAAAGGAAAAGCGATTCTTTAATTGTTCTCAGGTGTAGGTAAAATTATTTTTCAAATGATCAAATTATTTAAACCAAGTACACTTCAAACTATGCCTTTTTCTTGGCTGATACTGCAGCAGCTGGAGTCTGGTAAGACACGAAAGCTCTCCTAGAGAAAACTTCTCTCAGCACAGGATCTTTGCTTTGGAATTCACCTCCTTTTGTTCACTCGTTTGGTGTGAAGACCTAATGAAATTTAACAAATTATGAGCCTTGGGCAACCACATTTAAACAAGACCACATGGACAACCAATCTGAAAAAAATAATAGGCATCTTATACAAAACTGTTTTGTTATTAGTGATCCTTTTAGTAGCTTCTATAAAAACATCCCAGCAAGTGTCTCTCATAAGCACTAAGTTAGAAAAGGTTTATATCCACATTTGAAAATCCAGTGAGATTCCTGTACGTGGCGTATGCAAGTCATTAAGAAATTTAACTGAAATTTCTAAAAATAATTTTACTAATTCAGTTTCCTTGACAAGACAAGAAAACATTACCAAACGAGAAGAATGTTACTGTTTTGCCATTTTTATGAATGCCATTCTGGTTAATGCAAACCTGCACAGAATCCCAAGACTTTCATCTTTCGTATACAGTCCCATCTCTTTTGCTGGAACAGAATCAATGCCACCTCAGAGCTAACATAAAGCTAGATAAAAGATCATGTTCCTCCCTCCTCTACTGCCCAGTATAGAATCTCATCTCAAAACATGTGTTTTATTGAAGTCAATTGCTGACAAACTAAACTGATATTAGGTCTGGTCTGAGAAAAAAATCAACAGATAAAGCCGCATCTAATTCAATGTAAGTTCACAATTAAACTCTCCAGCTGCTCTACGACACACAAATCATTGTAATACCAGCAGAAGAAACTGACACTGGCACTAAATACTAACTGCCACACACTTAGCAAAATGAGAATGCTGGATTTTGAACGAGCTCTACTTCCAAATTTATCACTACTGGAAAGTTTTCTAATACCAAAAAGTGGCTGATTCTAAGTGCTCATTAAAAAAAAAAAAAAAAGAAGAAAAAAAAGAGAGGAATGTTAACATTTGGAATTTATTAAGGGGGAGAGAGTAGTCACAGAGGGGGATCTAATTAGCAAAAATGCATTCAAACATGATTAATTTGTAATCCTGGCACCAGCTGTATTCAACCAAATGCCATACTTTATGAGACAAACACTAGTGAGTTTTACATCTGTTTCATGCTAAGATAACATCTGTTTTATTCGCTCACAATACTTTCCCAGTTCTACAGCAATTTATACTTTTCCTAGTATTCCATGTCAATAAAAACATACAGACTTATGGGTAAGCATTGTAACAGCACATGTTTATCTTTCTGTATATTCAATTTGAGCGTTTAACAAAGAAGTTAGCACTATTAGAAGGAAGAAACCAGAACACTATCCTCCAGGATACGAATAGAGTGACATATGATTTCAATTTATGCAATTGTGTCCTAATAATATTAAGCATTCAAAACAAAATACAAAAGACTTCCCCTCAAGGGCAGAGCAAAATTTTAGCGCTTAGGTTTCCTCAAACTCCTTCATCAAGTCATTTAGAACAGTGAGCAAGCAGCCGAAGTCCGAGTTGTGTTTTTCTATAAATGAAGAGCATTAAGCAAAGCTTCAATTTTTCTTTTTTGACAAAGCTAAACCACAATTTGTATAATTGAAAATATTTTTCAGTTGTTCAATTTAAGATCGGAAAGATGTGAAAATCATCTCAACCATTCAGTGGAAACTCAACACAGACAGCTGCTATCAGTGCTCCCGGGTGAGAATCACGCCTCCAGCAAACCTACGTGATCCTTGTACATGGTCTCTTGGCTGGTTAACCTCACGCCCATCTGTCAGAATGGCATGGGTCCTACTTAGATCAGACTTTTTATCCAGAGTAAAAGTACTCTTAGCAACCCAACCAAAGTACTGCCCTGCCCTCCTTCTCTTCATGCCTTACGCATTCCCTTTGTAAAGTGCTAATTAGCTGGCTGTTTCCTCACTTTTTTTCCATCTTTCTTTTATATTCAAAATGTGAAAAGGGAAAATATAAGCACTTCAGAGAAGGAGTCCCAGGGTTCTTACCCTGCATGTCTTTAAAATTTTATATTTTTATTCCTGACTTCTTGCAAGCAGCAATTTTATTAGAGGAGAATTCAACGGCAGTAGTCTGAATGCTTACTCAGGAGGAACACAGAACAAACGAAAGCTCTGAAGTTTACCTGTTGGTGTTACAGTATTAATTGGCTACTGAGCCTTGGCTCAGTCCTGTTCCAAGTTTCTTCAGAGTTTGCATCTGAACAACCAATACAGCAGCTGACAGGAGAGGTGACGAGATTCTCTCCTCACCCCTCCCGTGTTGTTATTTTCATAGCAGATCCCATTCCCAAAAAACACCCGAAGAGCAGTCACTAAACTACTATTGAAAATCACTGGAAATAGACTGCCCATTTTATGTGTGTCGTGCCAGAAAGTTTTCAGAAAACTGAGAAAGGATTTTTGGATAAGGAATCTGTTTTAGCTTTCACCATCATAAACAGAAATCTTTGTTGTTTCAAAGTACATGAGATGAGATACAAACTTTTTTATTCAAAAATGTTTGGTCAAGAGAAGTGATTATAACCTTCTGTGATCTCTGCTGGAAGCGTACACAAACACAGCTTCTGACTACATGACATGATATTGGACGTTCTCTTTTATTTTAGATGGTTCTTTCAGAAGTCTTGGAATAAAAGAAAGAAAACAAATCATGTACCTCTTTCATAGCACCCTTCAATATCTGCATTTTCAGTTTTTCTGATAAGAAAACAATTTTGCATCTTTTCCTAATGACTGTGGCAAATTTATAATAGCAGGCATATTTATTAGCAAATAACAGGATTCACACACACTGCAGCAGCTGAAATCAATGCGCTGTTGGAAGCCACATTCAAAATAGAACAAAGCAGTATAACAACCACAAAACAGTTTTTCTAGTTGGGTGAACCACTGCTGGAAGACACCCAAAACGGAACTGGCTTTCTATGAACTGCAATTGAAATCACAGAAAGGCAATCACTGCAAGTGTACGTGCAAGTTGTGACTTCAGTTACTTAGAAGTGAAGAATCGTGACTTTGCATAATCAATTCTTTTTACTTCCCATTTTTAGGGTTGAATACAGTTGGCAAACTGTACAATTTTGTAACTACACAATCATGATGTTCATGTATCAATGGGGTCTTCAGAACAAATCCTCCCCCTTTTGTACCTAAATGGTATCTGTAAAAGCTCTGTTCAGTTTAGTGCAAGTGTCACACAAACACCGCAGATCTCCTCCTACTGAGGAGCACCTTCTCCTAAAAGTAGAAAAGACAAAACAAGTCATCCATTACGTCCAACTAAATTAATTAAGTAGCCATACACACTCTTTTGTGTATGAATTCTTACCGTCTGACTAAATGTAGCTTATTGGAAGGAATGAAGTTCAAGGGTATAATGTATTATTATATAATTTTTATATCAGAAGTCACTAACATAAAATCCCGAAGATTGTACTACTTACAGGCAATTCAGAGTGACTGAAATTCCTAATTTAAAATGTATGGAATATAACTGATATAGAATTTTTCTTTTCCATGTTTCTGAGCAGTGGTGATGCACTATTATGTTTCATAAGTTTGTTAATGAAACACTGGATGTGTAGTACTGCATCCATTTAGTCTATATTTAATGTTTAATAAAAATAAAATAACCTTGGTGTAGTAATTGCATGCCAAGGATTAGACTGCAGTCCTTCCTTCCAAGGTTTTGGGCTGGGGCATGCATTAAAATAAAGCCTACTTGTAGCGTATTTTATTCTTGTCTTTTATTAGTATATGGCATATGCTGTAATTAGAAGATTAGCGTATTCAGAAATGCTGAAAAACACGTGCATACATCTAGAGACGCTACAGTGTCCACTCATACATGCAGCGCAGAGGTGTCTATACTGTTTCACAGATGTTAGGATGAGCCTCCCTGTCTCAGCTTTGCAGAAAACCTTGCAGACACTTGACATGTAGCTTTTTCTTCCCATGCTATGCATAAACCAGTATTTTGTCTAAACTCAATCTCATCCATGTATTTTTTCTGCTTAGTTAAGAGGAAGAGTATCAAAATACACAGTTTGGATTTCTGATCTTGCTATTCTCACAGCCACAAAATGCTCTGATGCAGATATTGGCAAGAAAACAAGCTTTAACTATGTTGAAGTTAAGAGTAAATCCTTAGAAAGCTTTGTGTTAATCAAAGTGAAAGCACAGTCAATGTGACCTGACAGACAATTGCAGAAAATCTGACCAGATTTGACTCATCCTCAACTTTCTTTGTATTTACAAATAACCTGCAGGGGATAATACCTGTTTGGTCTCAAGCTGCAATAAATAGTTTAAAGAACAAATCTTTAAGTGTACCATGGAATCTCACTGGGGACACCAGTGTTTACAAAATAAATTTCATCTGTCTGATCCATCAAGTTAGAGCTCTAGCCTTTTATCTGGGAAGATATCCTTAGAAACAATCGAAATCGATGGTGTGTGCGTGAAATGTGTATATACATTTCACAGTGTATAATATGTATGTACATACATACAATACACAGTGTATGCTTACTGAACACATAGTTCCAAAAAGCAGGAGTACGTATGAAGCCTGATCACTTTGGCCCTGTGTTACAGCTGGTTATTTTATCTCTAATAACGTGAAATCTCATTAAAGCTTTTCCTGTTTTTACCAGTTTAAAATCAGCACTGTGGCCACATGCATCCTCTGGGGGAGTTCACATCTTACTGAAGAAGTTATAATGGGAAATCAGAGAATATCTGCATCTCTTTCTCCTTTAACCTGCTGGTAGATTAACTTAATGCTTTTTAGGATCTTTCCATCAAATTGCCTGAAATGGACCATGCTCGAATGTTACTGGGTATTGTATCAACCCATCATAGGATGAAATGAGAGCTAGAGAGACAACAGAATCCAGACTAAAAATATCTGAGGGGGGCTTAATTCAGTTTTGGTATCTAGTGGCATTCTAGATTACTTAAAATGGAATCAATAATTACCAAATTAAATGAGCATTTCATCACTGGGGGCAACTTAATTGCAATTACAGACCTGCTTTCCTCAGGGAACTTTGTGTCCCTCTGTATGGGTTCAGCCTAGAGAGACAACAGAATCCAGACTAAAAATATCTGAGGGGGGCTTAATTCAGTTTTGGTATCTAGTGGCATTCTAGATTACTTAAAATGGAATCAATAATTACCAAATTAAATGAGCATTTCATCACTGGGGGCAACTTAATTGCAATTACAGACCTGCTTTCCTCAGGGAACTTTGTGTCCCTCTGTATGGGTTCAGCACGTTATGCTCATACACTGCCTCAAGTCCACGCTTGTTTGTACTTCAAAATACACCATACCTGTATAATTAATCAATACTTGCTTTTGGAAGGAAGAGGCAAACCTACAGTGTACCTTCAATATATATAAAATCTAGCTATGTATTCCAAGAGGAGCGTGGGTGCAAAACAGTATTATATGTATAATGCAACAGCAATTGTTTCTGAAACTGCCAACTATTTTTATTGCGGGAACATTAGTGTTTCTGGGACAGAAAAAGGGCGTAGTATAGGAAAGACATATTGCAACACAAGTATTCCAATTAAATTTATGTACTCCTTGAGTAATGTAATACACAGACCTAACAGAGTGAACTTGAGGCATCTAAAAAGAAAATGACTCACCTTTTTCTTTTCTCTGGTTAAATTTAGATGTGTGTACAGCTGAATTATTTTCCCATGCAATGATTCTAGGAAAAAACTAGGCAGCCTTGAATCTTGGGAATGGTTGGTTTTACATCGGTGAATGTCTGAAATACGTTCTGAGGTTTGCATATTCAGGATAACATCATATAAAATTAGTATTGAATAGTAGGAGACTGTGCCTAAACTTTATTACAATATCACAGTACAAATACAATTAGAGAACTGCGTGCCAGCATTTTGCATACTGTTTACTTTAACTGGTTTTGTTTGGGTTTGGATTGCTTCAGATAAGAGATAGATGATTGTAGAGCAACATGTGTAAGTAGATTGTTGAAATTCTATTCTAGATAATGATCAATGGTTGGAAGAACCCTAGCTGCAACTCAGGCAGGAGCTGTCTAGCAATGTTTTTAGACAAAAGTTGGAGAAAGGTATTTATAGAAACAATCAAGTATTTAAAAACAGTGGGAAGGGAAGCACACCTTATTAAACTACATTTTAAAAAATGAAATATCCTATGGTTTGAAGAAAGTTGCAAGACACATAAATACATAAATTTCAACACTCATATTAACGCTCTATGAAAGCACTGATGAAACTATGAAAATGACTGTTACCTTAATATTGGAAAACCACAGGTCATTTTCATGCAGTGTGGCAACGTAAACAGAAGTAAGAAGTCCAAGAGAGATGGCAACAATTCCACCGACAGTAATTGAGAGTACGTTCCACAGCTTTCCACCTGTATGATCTTGGAAGAAAAAAAAATATTTCACTCTGTAATTGTGAAACACCTCGTTCAACTTCAGAGGAATTTTGGAAACTCGCACACTGCCTGCACTAGTACAGTTTACCTTCTGTAGACAACAGGGCATTTGGTTTTAAGAGATCTTTAAGGGGATGTGGGTTTTATTTTCTCATACAGCAAACACAGAGTATTTTATTTACATGAAAAGTGAAATAAGGTGTGCCTTAATTGGTAAAATGCCGTTACAGTTTAACACCACCACGATCCTATGTAAGTCTCGACAAGTACCATACATGATTTGTAAATCTAAACTGAAATATCCGCCGGGGCAACTTTTTAAATTAAGGCAATACAGGATGACTGATCCCAACGCGAAATTAAAATAATCATCACACGTCTTAAAGTGGCTGCCTGTTCTTTGGGGGTGTGCTTGGGTTTTGTAAAAAAATATCACTGAAGGTTCAGAAGCCTCACTAAATACCCACAAAGAGACTGAACAACGGCCAAAGCAGCCTTTGATAATGGTGTCACGCTTTGGACTGCAGACGACCTCCTGCAGACATCAAAATAAGATTATAGATGGAATGAAGGAAAAGAAAGGTTCTGTTTCTAGGTAGCTCAATCACTTTTTTCTACACTTAAGTTACCGGGGTTTTTTAGTTTTTGGGTGTGGTTGGGTTTGGTTTTTTTTTTTGAATGTTGATTTCAGGCTTAATATGGATCTTATTGATCTGGAATCCTATCTTTGAAATGGCTATTTCATACTGCGTGTGACGTCAACATAATGGGTACTAAATATGCAATTCAATGGAACTGAGGGCTAGGCTGGATGACAACTATGAGCACGGAAGCAACAATGTGACCTTCATCTACCCAAACTGAATATATAGAAAGATTTAGAATCTAAAATCAAAACAGCCCTTAAAGTAATTTAATTAAAAATACCCACAACCCCAGACTTTGCCAACTCTAAATTTATAAATCCAAATAAAAATGTTGTCAGTATTACTTAAACAGATCCTCAAATTAAGGCACTTAATGTCTCCCTTTTAAATTTACCTAGCTAGTCTGTCCTATAGTCAAAAAGCAAGGGTTTGCAGTTAAAAATCAGATTTCATGTACAATCTGCTTATATTTAAGTACAACTCATCACAGGTCTTCAACTCCTTTTATGCTACCAATGATTTGAACTGAGATTCGTTTAAGAATGGCTACATTAAATCTGAAAGTGTGTCACTGATACTAAACTGAAAAAAATTGTTCTCACCAATTTAAATTAGGATTTTAAAATAGAGGTGTGATGGACATGCAGTAATCTGCATGCCCTCTGTCTCATCCAATTAATTCTGGTGATAGATACACAAGTATGAAAATGTATTTGGTACATGCCTAGTTCTAACCTGTGCTTAGGACAGGTACCAAAAGCTAAACATCACTAAAAAGCCACAATGTTACAATCCTTTCCATTACCCACCAGACAGAATTTTCCCATCAGGCTTCACATTCTTCTCCTCTGAAGGCTGCTCTTCAGCCGCTTCTGTGCCTTTTCCCACCCTTCTCTGTCTGACGGCTGTCATTATGTCAGTCACTTTAATTCATTCTTCTTCAGTCTGACTCCTAAACGGACACACACAAGCAATGCATCTTCCTACCCAAACATTCACTTAACGCTGTATGAAATATCTGAACACAGAACCATCTTTTACTGCCATCAGAGACTCGACTTACGGGACCGTTCTGTAGCTGAATTATAGCTTACAAAAACTCAAGATTCTTCTAATTTTTACAACTCAGCGTGCAAATGAAAGAGAACATTGTCTTAAACTTGTAAAGATTTTAGTTCACAATTGTACATACTCCTGAAGTTTTCAGAACGATTAATTATTTTGACAGCCCTCACGACTCAAAATGCACACCAGGCTCTGCTTCTATGAAAAGGTGTAAGCCCCTTCAATGAAAAATTGAGGATATTTGAGTTGGACACCTAAAAGAGAAAGCCAGTTGTTTAAATCTTGGCTTTCAGGAAATCCTAAAAAAGGGAGCCGTAAGATGAAAAAATGATGACAGACAACGTGTTATAAAAAAGTAGAGAGACAGCATTAAAAAATATCCTGAACATTTTATACTCTTGAAGCACAAAATTGGAGAACATGACAAAAAAGAGAAAGATGAGCAGCTAGTCATTCCCCAGGTGCTCTCTGCTCCGTACATAAAACTGCTTCCCATTCAGCCTCCCATTCCACACCTGACCATCAGTGTCATCCCAGCCCGAATGCAAAACCCCAGCCATGCCCAGAGCGCCAACGCCGGCAGTTGTGTCCCCACTGGTAATGGTGATTCTCTAAGAAATAACACCTCAACCGCACAACTTTCTTGTTTTATGGCTCTTGCAGTGGATAAACTTCCTCTTTATCCCGCATGGAAAATACATGGAGGGAATTATGTGAGCATGTCTCAGAGTCATCTTGTAGAAAACCCGACAATTAATTAGTACGGGCAAGATGGTCCTCATAGCCACCCTCCTTCTCTGCACTGCCGGTCTGGGGCTGCTTCCCGCAACGCCTCCCGCCGACGGGAAGAGTTGGCATCGCCGGCACAAGCAGGGAAAGCCTCCACAGGGCGCCGGGAAGGGATCGTGCCTCGGCCCCCAGCCCCG